GCTGTATTTCCTGCATATTAAGTTTGCTGAATTGCATGACCATGCTGTGAAAACATATACAATTTTAGATTTGTCATTTCAGTTAAGGGAAACCATTTTAAATAATACCAGTGTGATTGTGTGTAAAGAACAGGTTTTGCATAAATTGAGCCCCCCCCCCTTTTAGGAAATCTAAACTTTAACATTTTCTCCTCAAGTATCTAGATGCCATTAATTTCTTCTTCATGGCAATTAAACCAGATGCATTTCAGAAGTACTAAAGAGGAAGGGAACATAGTTTTATCACTTAATGTAACAGTAATCAGAATCATGATGGTATTTCATAAAAATATGACAAAATTTAACCTATTAAACTAGAGAGCATTTCTTTTCTAAGTGAATAAAATTCAGATTTTTTTTTCATTGCATACAGACTACAGCTTCCAAGTTGAGATACATCATAATGAACTGTTATAGTTTCTCCTTTTGATGACTGAGAAAAAGATGTTTGTCACCAAGAATTTATTTTTATAAACACTTGAAAGTTTGGCCAAGGTACACTGTTTAAATTGAATATGTATGCATTTTATTTCTATTATCTACTTCACAATCAAAAGAATATAAAGGAAAAAGTATCCCTCTAGGTCCTAGTCTAGAAGCCACTTATGAGAGTATTAGAATTTGTAAAATACTGATATAATAATTCAAAGATATAGTTGGAGTTGGAGTTCAGAACATAAAAAGAACAATGCAATAAATATATCTCTTTGTGAGAGTCAGTAGGAGTTAAAAAAAATCTGTATCTTCGTAAGAGCAAAACTGCTATGGAAATTAAAAGGAAACAAACAAACATCCTACACAGGATCTTTTTTCTTCTTGTCCAAACAGGACCCTGAGGAGGACTATGATATTTCTCTGGCCTATTGGATTGGATTCCCTATCATCACAAAATTACAAATAAATATTAAAAACACTAATTACACAACTGCCCCAAGAGACTAATTGTCAGCAATTATTTTTATTATCCTACTAGTAACTACTATAATCCTGATTTATTTCCACACACGATATATAAAACACCTGCTATGCTTATACAGAAAGTAATTCAGTTGCTTTAACTCATTCAGGATCCACAAGGGATGAAGTATTTATATAAGTATATTTATATAAGTATTTATATAAGAGAACGTTCTAGATTTAGGCAGTCCTCTGGACACCTGAAAATTTGACTTCCGTTGATTTGTATTTTTGTTGTTCCGCCAGCTACACACTTAGAGTCAACATATTGCAGGGAGGCAGCACTCACATTAAATTGCATCAATCAGTCTACTCTGACACTTACCACAGAAGGCTCTCAGTCCCACCACAAAAGAAGTGTGGCAGCATCCTTCACAACCTCTCTGCTTCAGGACTCTGTCTTTAGCACCGACCCAGGTCCGACCTTGGGTTTAAACACAAGCCTATGTACCTGCACCGGGAGGCAGAAGGAAGGGAGGATAAAGGAAGTTAATGGGAAAAGTAGAAGTAATTAATACTTTAAAGTCAGTGAAAGAAATTCTGAAGTGCTTTGAGCAATGACAGCATCATTCCAGGACAAGCAGCTTCGAAAAGTTCAGAAATGATACCCCGCAAACAATGAATCATGGAACACTACATCAAAAACTAATGATGTAACATATGGTGCTTAACATAACATAATAAAATAAAATTTAAAAAAAGAAATGATTCTGAGGATTTATACATTTTATTTTTTTATTATGTTATGTTAATCACCATACATTACATCATTAGTTTTTGATGTAGTGTTCCATGATTCATTGAGGATTTATACATTTTAGTTTTCTTTTTTAAAATAGTCCCAACTTTTTTATATTGATACCTACCTCCAGGTGACTAGAACTTGCTAAGTGAGAATAATTGTGTGCTTTAAATAAAAAAAAAAATACTTGGATGGATAATTTTATCACCTATTCACCTCTACATACCTCAGATGGAAAATCCATGTACTCCTAAACCTATTTCTCCAGCATCCTTCCCTATGAAAAGATTATGACTTCAGCTTCATCTGTTTGAATTTCAAGTGTAAGCAGGTGCAGAACATTCTAATCTACCCTTATCTGTCTTCTCACCAACACCTCACTTTCCACACAAAGTCCCCTTCTTTGCCGTGGCTGCATTGCACACCCCTTACTGCAGTCTACAAGCAAGGCTTACAACCTTTCCCTTCCCACACCATCTTTTAAAATTAAAACTCTTGGTGACTGAGGAGGTTTTCTCTTTACGAAACCAAATTTTCTTAATACATTCCTATTCCTGCTTCAGTCCAGAATTAAAACCTGACTGGGAGGCAGAAATCTATACTTTATTCCATTTGATCCTTTATAATACCCACAAAAAAGAAAGAACTGAGATGACAGCACTCCACTTTTATTCAACTAAGTATTAGCCATGGGGCCAAAGTGGAGCATGTTGGATTTTATGGAATAAGACTCATGTCATCATGAATCCGTGAGTTCTGACTTTCTCCAAGATAACACTCCATTCATGTTGTTATCTTCAGGAGAGAAGACTCAGCATCACATGACTGAAACTAAGAAGGGGGTGGGAATAACCATTGATTTACTCTAACATTGATTCTCCATCAGGTAAGCAGCACATATCAAAACAAGAAAAAATACCCAATGACTTAAAAAACCCATGGTTAGGAAAAAGGCAATAGTGCTGATAGGGGCAACTTATGATGACCTTAAAGAGCCATGTGTTCTTAAAAAGTGTGTATATTAATGTTTTAAAATGGATTCATCTTGGGACACCTGGGTGGCTCAGTTGGTTAAGTGTCTGACTTGATCTCAGCTCAGGTCTCAATCTCAGGGTCATGAGTTTGAGCCCCCGTGTTGGACTCCCCGTTGGGCAAGGAGCCTACTTAAAAATAATAAAATAAAAAAATAAAATGCATTCACCTCAGCCTTGTTCAGAATAGCCAAAAACAATTTTAATGTCTAACAATATCAATAGGGCACTGGTTAAATAAATTATGTGAGATCCTTAATGTGGAATATTCCACAGTCATTAAAATGACTTCCGCTTTTCTGATTTCAGAGCTCTTGGATTTTTATACCATTGATTTGGGGTTTTTTAATTCTCACTTTGAGGACCTTGTGATTTAAAAAGTCCTCTGAGGATTTTTTAGCCACTTTCCAGATAACTTTCAAAACACCACCTTAAGTTAAATGCAAGTCATTATTTCCAGGCAGCCAAAGTAGTGTTTCACTGCTGATTCTGTCTGAGGACTGAGAATCCATATACCACCAACTTGATTCTATACCATATTTTAATTCTGGTCTGCCATTTTGTTTTGGCTTCAGTGATACATGACATTTTGGATGTTTTTCAAGGAAATAGCTTTGGACAATCTTTATTAACTTATTTATCTCAACATAGATAAGCAGGAAACCCTTTCAACACAAGTTAAATATAATAATAAAAATTTCTCCAAACCTTTTTCTCCTATCAAATCATGAAAATTATTCTTACTTGTATGAACTATATTCATGTGGAGAAAAGGGACTCAATACAAAAGCTTATAACTAATGCTTCTGCTTATCACTTAGAGATTCCAACTGATAAAATTATGATAGTAAAACAGATAACAACAGATCAACTTCTCAAAGGTAGCCTAAGTTTTCTGAAAATCATCACAAAATTGCCTTTAAAAATGAGCCATATCAAGATACTTTCAAAGACAAAAAACAAAACCAAAAATTTTGGCATTGATAAAAATACTTCCCCTCTAATTTGTTGCCATGAAATAAGGCTAGAAATTGTATAAAAATGCACACATTAGCTTGATGTTGAAACACTTCTTCATTAAGCATATTTTTCCTTGGAAAGACCAAACTAGATAATTTCATTTTGGCATGTAGAAATGTTTGTGAATATAATCACTAAAGGCATAGGGTGCCTTTTCATATTAAAAGGATTAAAAGGTTTTGCTAGAAACAATTGTGGGGTTATAGAGAAAATTTTAAAACAGCCTTATTTCTGTAAAAATGAAATAATAAAAATTTGCTAATTGTCCTTATAGTCATTGTACTCAGAATTTAGTAATAAAAGGAGACTGATTTCATTCATCTGTTCTTTCAACTTCCATGTATTAAACCTCAGTGTTAATCACTGTTGAAATTCAAAGGTCTGCCATTAAACACTCAACATAAGTAAACCCATAAATATCTTCCGGTTTTTAAAAATAGAATGTCAAAAGTGAAATCATGGAGGTATATCATAACGTATGGGAATATGAGAAACTTATTCACATTTTTGCAAGAGAGAAAATAAATTTCATAGAGATGGTAATCCCTCATTCTGGACTTCAATAAACATAATGTAGTTATAAAGAACACAGAACTGATTCATTCCAGAAAATATTTCTAGAAAACCAGTGTTACATATTTGGATAAAATTGGAGGGCATCTATTTAAGAGAAGTACTGTTTAAATAAAAATTTTTCCTTACCCCTGAAAATAGAAAGTGCAAGGGTTTGTAGTAGTAGTAGTTTTTATTGTATTAATCAGTTAAGTTTAGTTTTATATTAAAATCAACACAGAGCTTTTGATGTGAAAAACTAATAGTAAGCAAGGAAGATTCTGTTACTGGTTTTAAGAACATTTATGTTTTTTTGTAAGTAACAATTTTGAAGACTGTTGATAATAGATGTCAGAACTGCTGTCAATTTTGGGTTTGGCGTCTCTATTTCTCAATAAGAATCCATCTACAGGGGCGCCTGGGTGGCTCAGTCGTTAAGCGTCTGCCTTCGGCTCAGGTCATGATCCCAGGGTCCTGGGATCGAGCCCCACATCGGGCTCCCTGCTCCACGGGAAGCCTGTTCTCCCTCTCCCTCTGCCCCTGCTTTGTGTTCCCTCTCTCACTGTGTCTCTCTCTGTCAAATAAATAAAATCTTTAAAAAAAGAATCCATCTACAAATCAAAGGTCTACATTTAGGTTTGTTTCATTCATATTTGTAGCTCATTTTTGAAGGTATTCGAGGTCCTGGCATAGAAGGTGACATTGCCATTGATGATGTATCGATTGCAGAAGGAGAATGTGCAAAACAAGACCTAACAACTAAGAGTAAGTGTCTATTCTTGGATTGATTTGATGTGATGTTAAAGTAACATAATAACTATTAAACCAAAATGGTCTAATTTTTTAAACTCAGTTATTTTTAGTTTGTAAATTTAGAAATTCCTTATATGTGAGACCCTAAAATTTTGAAGATATTTTTAAAACAAAGTATTAAATTTGATGGTACGCATATTTGACCTAAGATAAGACAAAAGTAATTTTGGTTTAGTTCTATGTAAGGCAAGCCCACTTTGATTTTTAATTAAGATTTTAAAAAGTATTTAATTTATATTATTAATTTCAGGGGAATTTTTTTTTACTTTTATTAAAATATTTGGCTGACTTATATACTCAGCACATCTTTAGATAACCATAGCTGTTTTTATCCCCTCCTCCCCCATTTATGAATATATTTTCTAGGTCTAACTTTTGCAAGCCATTTTAATAGATTCACTATTGTGAGGAGCCTAACTATGTTCAATAAGTAATAAATCAGCCCATTTGTATTCTAGTATAATTCAACTATGTGCATCACAATCTTGTTTAGTAATTTGGTTTCATTTTTTACTCTGGTTTGAATATTATAGTTTAATGATATCTTCAAATTTTATTTTGTCACCACAAAAATGTTTTGAATAAGAGATATAAATTAAAAATTATAAATAATGCAAAAAACATCAGAATTATGTGTTGAGCTGCTTCTTAAAATCTTCATCTCCATATTATCTATGTGAAGTTGAGAAAACTAAAATCACGTCTTTTAAAAATTCCTCCACTTCAGGTATTTTCATGGGCCCTCTGGAGTCTTTAATTTTGTGGTTATATAAAGGGGTATCAATCAAGCTAAATTTACACAAAAAACTCATCAATTATTTAGTACATATAAAAGGAACATGAAAATCCATTTTGTTAAGTCTAGAGCAAATGAGAGTCTTTGTTGACTGAGTATATTTAGTGAGAAATTATATTAGTCTAGATGTTGAAAGTTAAATTTCTGCAACTACCTAGTGATTGCTCATAGGAACTGAGCTGACTCCATTTTTAAGCATTGTAAAAAGACAAAAACTAAGATTGTGTATAACAATGAGCCACTTTGCTCATAGTTTTCACCTTCTTGTCATTATACTTAGCATTTCAAGTAACAAATTTAGTAAAAATTTCTCCCTGTGTCTGGCTAATTTTGCTTTAAAAAAACCAGTAGCAGTATCGAAATGAAGTAGATTTGTCAAATGCACAGAAAAGCATGCATTCTCCTTAGAGGAGGAGAATGGGATTTCTTTCGAATTTCCTAACATGAATCAGTCACAGTAACCTTCTAGTAACTGAAGGTAGTTACCATCTTACATAGAAATCTTACATTTAGATAATTTGATCACTGAAAACTATTACAAATTAAATTCAAAAAATTGAATTAAACTTTCCAAATGAGGAAAGCAAGAGAGAACGTTCTCCCTCATGGAGAAAACAGAAGTGGTGAAAGAGTAGCAACAGGGAAATGATGATGAAAACCCCAAAGGACTTTATTGTTACATAATAGAACACTTTCAAAATCGGGTTTCTTCTCTTCTAAAGTCAGAGAAATGTGTGGCTGTTTTAAATAAGATACATCTGTACATATTGGAGGTATTTTTATTCAGCCTCTGCAAATCAGAGGAAACAGCCCTATTGAACAAAAACATTTTCTTTGGTATGAGAAAGTATTCTGTTACATCTGTATCTATTTAACTAGCATTTACTAAGCTCATTTTGACCGTGTTTGGTGAATATTAAATTAATGTTAATTTCTAAGTACAAACTAGCTTGGCAGCCAAAAGCTTCCTCCTAACTGCTCAGGTTCCCAACCCTTCTCAGGCAGTAAATGGTACTATGGCCCATACTATCAAAAGCTGAGGTTGTCTGTTTTCTCCAAAACCCAGCTCTCTCCTAGGTGAGAGCCATTTTGTAACTTACGCCAGGTGAATGAATTACCCAGCTTGCCCATGTTAGCCCTTCTGGACAAGGCATACATTCTAGGTATCACTTGGACATGAAGCTCTACTTGAAACACCAATTATGGTAGGAATCTTAAGGCAGAATAGTGGGACAGATTTTTTAGTTAAAATGGACTTCATAATGCTTCTAGAACTCACACTGAATAGATAATTATTTATTCAGTGTATAGATACTGGACTGATCTAAGCACTGTTTGCGGTAGCTGATTTTCTACCCATTACAATCCCTTCTTAGTTTTCATAAAAAGTAGTTTTTCTCTCACCCTTTAATCTTAATCATTTCTGGAAGCTTTGGGAAAAAACTGACCTCTTAGGATTAACAAGAATTTTCTGTGGGTACATACTTCCATGTGGCTAGTAGAACTCTGAGGTTGAACTCAGCCACAAACTCACACAAATACCTTCCAGACAAGTTCTCATAGCATATCATACCAACTTAAAATATTTCTATTTTTCTAACCACACATTTAAGTTATTTTCCTTTTCACATGTCTTGGAAATAGACTGATAATTAAAACAAACCAAAAAAAAAAAAGTATTTTCCAAAAATGTTTTCCATATACTCTATTGTTTTATTAGTTCACCAAAGTTGTATTGGTAGCTACACGGAATATTTATTCTCTTTTTTTGTTTGTTTCTTGGCATTTATTTTCCTCGTCTTTAGATTCTGTTGATGGTGCTGTTGGAATTTTAGTACATCTATGGCTTTTTCCGGTCATCGTACTCATCTCTATCTTAAGTCCTCGAAGGTGACCTTATCCTGGCAGAGGCTATAAAAGATTCACCAGGCACCGGCATGAAGAAAGAGTCTTTGTAAATGGACATTGAAAAACAAACTACCAAAGATTCCTCCACTGACTACTGACTCAAAAATAAAATAATAAAAACGAATTTTTTAAAGCACTGGGGATAAAAAGACATCATGGAAGTATAACTTATTCCAAACTACATGTAAAAGATAATCTTGACCTGAGTAGAGAAGAGACCTTCAGGTGCTTTTGTGGCTAAAAAGATTTCAGCGTCATCTGGTCATCTGGTTGAACTCTGGAAAAAAAAAAAAAAAAAAAGCTATAGAAATCCTTGTCAAAGCACAAAGTCATGGCTGGTTTTGTTTCAAATGAATAGTTTGCTTGTTACCATGGAAACCTAATGGCCTGCCAACAAAAACCTCACTGTAAACAGGGTACGTGAAGAGCTGGCATTTATTTTCCTTTCAAGAAGGTTTTACGTAGAGAATTAAATAAATGTAGGCCCATTTACCTTTGGTTGTTACCCTTCCTTGAAAATAACCCGAACTCAGAATTATTTAAAGCATTCATGCTCCTCCCCACCTGTCCCCATCCCACCTTTATTGTTATTATTTTTTTTCCTCCCATGGCTAAACTAGATAACTGTATGCTGTCTCTTTTTGCATGCATTACTATCCAGGATGGTAAACCTGGGCTTACATATTACACAGGCTTATCGGAGTTTGCTTGCGGCCACTTGAACACCCAAACTAAGTCATCTGTTCCAATGAAGAAACCAAACCACCATCTTTTATAAATTGCCATGGAAACCAAGTGCCTTCAATGAAACAAGCCTGAATAATTTTCAACTCAGAAGCTTGCACTGCTAAGAGTGGTTTGTGTAAAACTATTTTATAAACAAACTACAGAGCCTAAGTGTGCAAATTACAGGCAAGACAACAAAAGCCGCTTCTGAAGAAGAAAGGACTGGAGCTGCTGAGTAAGCCCATGCAGACGAGCTATTTGTTGTTTGACCTCCTAGACAGCCATGGCCTTTCGGCTTATTGTCCATTAGAAAATAACTTCCATTGAGACCAGATATGGGAGCAACACTTTTTTCTTCCAGGTTATTAAATGGGTCAACCAGAGCAAAAGGTTGTTAAGATAATACTTAGCACAGAAGGTGGTAAAACACAAGAGTGATTTTTTTTACTCTAACCTCCATTTGAAATGAAATTGGCCCTAGCTTTAGAGGGAGCAAGAAAATGTTTGTGATTGCAGTGCATACAAACTCTACAGCGGAACTGGGCCTGAAAAATCTGGCTTTATTCTAAACACTGAGGGTAATATGCCTCTGCCCTTTAGTCAGACTCTGTGCAAATTGTGAAATATTATTTTATTATTTTACCAAGATTAAAAACACTTTTACAAAAAAACAAAAACCTGTAAAAATGATTTTGAGCTACCTGAGGACAAATCATACCTTTAACCAGCCAGTTTTCCAATGCATTGTAAATTTCACTTAAACCTGTTGGTTATGAAAATTTGAAGATCTTTTTCCTTAAATTATCTCAGCTTTTAACTTCATTTAAAAAGACTTTTGTCTAAAGAAGAATATTATTATTATTATATGTTCTTTCAATACCCCGGGATTAAAAAAAAACTGATTATGCAAGTAATTGGGATATAAGTATTAAATTATAACATTTGCAAATATTAATATAAAAAGCACAACAAAATGTAGTGGAAAATGACAAAGCTTGATTTTTAAAAGAAAAAAAATTCTGTAGAAATGTTTGTGCAAATTCAGTAATTCAACTTAAAAGATAATTTTACAGCTATGTTCAATAAAGCCTCTTTCCAGGTAAGGTATGCAAAGCGGTATGTGTGTTTGTTGAGCAATGTTTACTTGTCACCAAAATGAGACTAGTTATACAATTTATCGGTTATGTTACCATGGGATAAATCTTCAGGGCTTCATACACCTTAATGTCTGCAGGAAAGAATTTAATAGGAACTCCTGAAGCACTCTTCCATATTTTTCATACATGTAAAAAAAAAAAAAAAAGTCAAACCTGTGCAAGTAAAATATGAAACAAATGTGAATTTGGAATTTAATGTATATTTTCATAGTTAAAGAGGGGACCAGCTGGAATATCTAGGTAGTGATAAAATCGAGCTAAACCGATTTCTTCAAATTAAACAGAATTAACTAAATAAGTTTTATAACTTATTTGAACACATTAGGCATATTGAAAATTTTCAGAATTACAGTCAACCATCTGTTTTATCAAACCAAAGAGACTAAACAATACTTGGGGGCACTTAGCTTAGTATTTACTAACTCTCCTTCACCTTGACTTCCATTTTATGTGGCAACTAACCACTTCCCTCCACTATCCTGTATCAATGGATCATCCTTCCTAATTGATTTTCTGCACACTCACTGCTGATAATATTAATAAAATTGTTTTCATCTAAAGAGAGGCTTAGCTCATTGCCACCTTCTTCCCTTATCTTGAATTTGAGTGAGACTTTTGCAAAGAACTAAAAAAAAAATCTATACTCAGAATATTTGGATATACCTTTGTCCTTTCCAGGAAAACAATCAAGTCTCCTTTTCTCCTTATTAATGCTGCATAAAGAAATTGTTATAAGTGAAAGCTTCAATTCTTCTACAAACCACTCATAAAATACTAAAGTCTTTCTATAACCTTTCACACATTAAGAATACACACACTTCAGAAGTCATGAGAACTGGCTGGTACTTCAAAAATTAATTTTGATTAAATTTTTGAGAAATTGCAAATGAGTGCCAAGAACAAAGGGCAATCAGAACTGCAAAAACAATCAGATTTATTGATATGGTAATAAATTAGAGTATATATCTCAAGTGGGTTCTGGATCATTTATATAAACCAACAATCTTAGAATTGTAGAATGTTTTTCACTCCAGATCAAATGTTCAGTTGCTTTAATTGAAAGAAAATGAATCAAAATGCAGGAAATTTTAAAAGGTTGGGATAAGTGAAATGTAAACTGTGCTAAGTAATCTGTTTAACATTAGTTATAATCATGATGACTTCAAAGCACTTACCTGTTTATCAACTGCTTTTCTTTTCCTAATATTTTTGTATTTATTATGAGTTGAACTCACCAACATATTTCCCTTTTTCCTTTTTGATAACATTTTAAGTGTAATTGATGCCATTTTTGTTGTTGTTCTTTATAGGAAGGCATCAGGCTTTTAATTCTCTGGGAGAAAGATTATACCATGTAATCTCCTAGTGTCAGTAACTGATCCGATTAATTAGGAGCTTACTCTGTTTCATTAGTTCAAAGATGCTTGTTCCTCCACATTTTAACATCTCTGCAACTGGGCCTATTTTAATTATATTTGGTAGCATTTCTGTGTAGTGATATATAAAATAAAAGTGCGTATTAAAACTGATGGCATCTTAGATATGTTGAAATTCACCAAATTCACTAAAGTCTCCAGAAGAGCCAAATCATGCCCAATATCATTCCTTTTCAACAATCTCAAAAGTGAGAAAAGGATGCTCTATCATATTTGTAGGATTTATATTAAATACTCATTGCCTATGCATTATTTAAAAATAACATTTTTATTTTGTGCTTTTAAAAAATCTGAATCTTCTCTTACAGACATTATATACATACCTAGCCCTGCTTTTTTTTTTTCTTCTTGCTACCTATATTTTCATTCCATCATGAAGTACAATATGCTATGTATCCCTGGTTTGAAATGTTTTCTTGTTTTGTGTGATTCATAGTACTTAGTAAGTTAGAAGTTTGACCTACCATTAAATTTTCTTTAAGAGATCTGAAAGATGCATGGGACATACACTACAATGTCATATTATAGGCTAAACTAACAGTACTTCATTTCACATATATCACAGAATTGACTTCAGCATGGCAATGAATTATGATAATTACAATAATCAGAATTACAAAGCAGCTAGTCAGTTACATCATGTTACCAATAATAAAAATAATCCCACCCTTTTATATTTTAAAATATGACAAAATATGAATGACAACTGTACTAACTTTTCACCAAACATGCATTTTTACTTTAAGACTTCATAATAAACTTATCTGTCAAAGTGCATAATTTGAAGAACAATTAATTAATTCAGGTCTATACTTAAGACTGTATGAAACTGGCTGTGGTATTTTTCATGACCTATTTTTTTTGTTTTGATTAGTGATTTGAAAGATGGTGACAGACTATTGTGATTTTCAAAGGATTCTTTTGAATGCCGTTTCTTTAACAACAACAAAACAAACAAACTTTTTTTTTTTTTTTATGTGCCTTTCAAAGATCAGGGCCTCAGAACAGTATTTAAACTGGAAAAAATTTCACTTCAAATTCATTTCCTTTTTGGTTGATGGCTACTTCTTACAAATTGCTTTGCCTGTGGCTCAACAAAGCAGAAGGTATATACTCTTCTTGCAACTGGGTAGTTGATATCAATGAGGAGTTATTGCATTTTCTGTGAAAACAATAAAATCATAGGGTTCAATCCCATGCTATTTCCTTTCCTACAACATTCCTTTTGTGTCTAACCAGTTTAATTAGTTTTCTTAGTGCTTATTTTTAAAAAGCAGTCTGACATTTTTTTACTTCAACTTAGGAGAAAAGCTACCACGAACGAACAACTTTTTTCAAATCTGATATTAAAAAGCTCTTTGCTGAGTATCCATAGTATTTATAAATATATGTTATTACATAGAAAAAGTAGGACTCAAAGATTTGAAATTTTAATGGGCAGTATGTCAATTCAGAATCAATCCATCATATGTTCATGTCTGCTTAGAAACAACTGAAAGTTAGGGAGAGATAACTACTCCGTATATTTCCATATGGACTTCTTTATTGACATTATTAGAATAAAACTTAATAAAATATGGGTAGTGATTTCACTACCCTGAACCCATATTGAGTATATTGAAATTAAGGGATTGGTATTCAAAATTCTGAGCAGGATAGGGGTTAAACTCTAGATAGAAATGAAATAGTTTTCTCAAGGGAATATTTACAACTGATTGAATTTAATTTCAATTGTTCTAATTTTCCACGAGTTGAGCTTAAAAATTCTTATTTTTCAATTAAAATGACGGGAAATTCTATGAAATAGGGATTAGCTTGTTAGTTTCAGTTGTTTTCATATGGCTCTTAATTGTTGTCCTGGATTTCCAGGATATCATTTTTATTTCTTGAATCTCATCAGTATATTTAAATGTATAAGTTTAATCAAATATACATTGTGTTGAATTTATATTAAATATTAGTTACATTTTAGATCTCAAAGTTTAGATTTAACTTACTTTTCATTTTGATATTTTACTTCTGCTAAATAGTTTCAGATAGCTGTATGTTATTTTCCCTTGGATTTTCTTTCAATAAATGCAATTATGTTAAATACTCTATTAGTGTTTTGGGGAAATTTCTGCTGTCAATAAGCACTTAAGTTAGAAACAAAAAGCTATTTAGAATGGCAATTATATTTGCAAATTAAGATGAAAATGCCATAATTTCTTTCACTATTAAAAAGCTTTTATAGACTCAACACTGCAGTGAAGCACAATTAGCCCATTAAAGATACGTGTTGATTTTTACATCCTTTGTGAGGGATCATTTATAAGATTGTGTTAAACAAGTAGGCACTAAAAAATCTTCCTGAATGAACTGTGATTTAAGAATTATGGCTCAATTTAGTAACTCTGGGCTTCTGCACGATATGTGAAATATCAACTGAAGATTACAGCACTAATGTTCTCCAGGAAGATAGTTTCAGTCACATATTTCATGCGGGCACTGTCGGCTACATATGGGTCTTCTGAGGGAAACAAATAATAGTGCTTGACAATGATTCCAGTGAACCAAAGTATAAATGGAATCCTAACAATTAACTTGCATAGCTTAATTTCCTCTCTCTCTCTCTGGTATTATATTTCTAAGTATATCCGTGAAATTTTAGAAAAGTGAATACAATTATCATTAACAGACCCATTAATTGTGTTTAAAAATCAACCCCTAACTATGTATTAAAATACTGTTTATTCTTTATAAGCTATTTAGTTTAATAGCCAAATTAAGGACCTTAACCATCTTTTGATTTCCTATAGTACTTATGTTCCTTTAAAGTATTCTTTAGTTGTCTGAAGATCTGCTCCCCAGCTGAAATTGTAACCTATCCCAGGGCAAGGACTGTGTCTTTTAACAAGTACTTCCAACTTATCTAGGTTCTATAGAGATTATTGAATTAATGATGATTGAATTAATCCATGATTTGGAGCTATATTTAGAATAGAACTTATTCAGTGAACCTAGGAAATAAGCAGCAATGTCACCTTTCAGTGATAAAATCAATGCAATTTCACGGACAGAAGATGTCTCCTGCTTGTGAGAAAAAATGAGAAGTCAAGGCAACTGAAATACCAGCATAAGCTTTTGCAACACAATTTCCTGTCACTTCTTAGTTAAATGGAAAGTGATTATATTTCTTAATAGAAGGGCAAATGTTGTCAATGTTTTTGCAAACAAAATTACTATGTGGTTAAACTAAGGAAAATGAAATTAATTCTGCATGTTTCATGTCAGATGCCATCGTTATACATGAGACTAATACTGCATAGGATCTCTTCTTTCAACCAAAATGTATTAATTATAGAATATTATGCCTAATTTTATATTAGAGCTCTAGCTAAATTCAAGCTTAGCTCCTTTCTAGAGTTTGTTGCAGTATATATTTCTTGAGATCCAATCATCCACTAAACTTGAAGTATATTTAAACAAGCAAATATTTTTACGAATTATATAATAACTGAATTATAAAACAAAATTTTAAAAATAAGGAAAAATTGATTTAGTTATGGGAATATTTTATGTAGCTTAAACTAGATTCTTATATATGGAACAAATAATGGTAAATTAATTTTCAAAATTGGGAATCGTGTTGAACAGACAGAACTAATTTTTGTTATTTTGTTTCTGTTTTGAATTATATGTTTTAATTCCCAAAATTAACACCATTCAACAGGCCAAGGAGCCCGAAATAAAAGATGGTACAGCGTTAGGACATGGCCACTACACAGTAACTAATTGTTACGTGAGTGAAATTACAAGTAGTACAGTGTCTGTTATAATTTTTTAATGAAATAAACACGCATCTTTCCTTTTTCATTGGTTTAGTTTTTGACAATGTCATGTACAAGACTGGGATTTTGCATGTATTCAAAAAGCCTTTCCAATACCGGGGTATTGGAGGGCACCAGAAGGGTATCCATTATGAATCAACATCCTCCACTAGGACTGCCCATTCCTCACCCAGCAGTCCATTCCTTCATGCTTAGGATTGCCTTCTCCACATAGTCTTTTTAAAAACTAGAAATACTCCCATTAAGGAAGTGTATTAGAGTTCTCTAAAACTTGGAGGTAACATTTCATTAGCTCGCAGTTTTCAAATATCTAGCAAAATAGGCTGAGAAAACACTGACCTACTGGAGGGGGTTAAGGAACAAGGAGAGGCATGCAAACAGGTGAGGTATGGGGTTTTGAAGACTATACTCATTCCACAATTTTCCCGAGGACAGGTCCAGATTACATATCCAGTACATAAAGTATAGACAGAATGAAAGGAATGTTAGTCAGTCACAGGTGAAGGCTCAAAGAACAGAATGAGAAAGCTTCTAGGACAGAAATATAAACAATGAGGTCACCGAGAGGGGGACGACACAAATAGATAAGGAGAATGCACTAAAAAACGAAACTAATCAAACTAGAGCCTTCACATTAACAGAAAGGAGAGGAAAGGAAAATTACATAACCAAATATATTTTGTAGAGATACATAATCTAAAAACTGAAAATAAAATATTTAGATGAAGTAAATTTGAAAAGGAACCGCAATAAATATATATGCAAATATTTTACCACACAATCTTCTGGCTTTCTCTTCTTTACTTCGCAGTAACTGTAGTCACAGTTTGGCTTCTCTGTCCACTTTCTCGTTCCTGGTTATGTGGATCCCCAGTATGGAGGTTAGTGTACAGTTGAGTGAGCCAATTTGGCAATGAGCACCTTCACATTATTTCTGCTCTCTGTAATAATCTTACTTCAAGCCCACACATACACACACATTCATAAATACACCCTATTTATATAGTGATTTACCATTTTCCAAGTGTTTTCATCTCATCTGTTCTAGCCTTAGTGACTCACCATGGTATTACTTGAACCTCTGTATGACGGATGCCTTCCAGCCTTCTTTCCTTCACCCTGTCTCTCACTGCATGTGGATGGTCACCCTTTCATGGTGTGACCCAGGACCGAAAAGAACAGTGTTCAATAAGCAATGTCTTTTGTATTTTATAATCAGTGAACCTCCATACTTTATCAAATCTAAAACATTATTGTACATACCTCTAAGGAAAAAAAAATTTTTTTTATTGTGACTGTAAGACACCATCAGTTGACGGTGACAGAAAGTCCTATTTCAGAGATGTCGAGTTGCAAAATAATAATAATCGTAAGGCTGATGAAATACAGCATCATTTATAATTATATCAGATATTTCATTTGACAACCTTACAGGAAATCTGCTTCCCGTGGTGTAATGCAGTTGAACTCTGATTCGAATGTATCGAAATCTCCTAAAGTGGTTGTTGAAAACACAGATTCCAGAATCTTGGCCCCAGTGGTTTTGTTCAATTGATCTTGAGGGAAGGGAGAGGGTATAGGATTCTAAAAAGCCTCTTAAATAATCATGATCTGTGTGATCAAAATAACCATAATTTATTAAAGATTGGGGTATTGGGAAGAAC